GTTGTTTCTGCGAAGGAAAATATGAGGCTGTTGTACAGCACATTACATTGCATGAGGGGTTTATTGTTGACATATTGAAGAATGAAGAGCACGCCAGGTCTTGTTTGGAAATGCAGACTTGACTCTGTCTGTATCTGCTTGCAGGATCAGTCTGAAGGCAGCAGCTCAGGGTGAGGTTTGACTCAGGGTCAAGGTTCAGAGGTTAGGGGCCCCACTCGTCACACACTTGGCCCCCAGTAAAGAGGCTAAAGAGGCAGGCGGGAACGCCTGTCACTGTGTGCAGCAGGGGGGCACAAGGGTTAACCAAGGGCTCCTGTGTAACTGATTCACATTCAAATCATCTGATCCTGCATGTTGTTTCGTCTCGGTGTCGACTGTGCACAGTTCTACTTTTCTTGCACATGTTCTGTTTTTGCAAAGAGAGAGCTGTCTTAAGAGCGAGTGTGTGTTTGCAGAACACTATATGGAGCGATGCATCTTGCTCTCATCAGCTGTGCACTTCTTTTTTTTTTTTTTTTTTTTCTTTTTGCAAACAGCGGGGATTGCACTGGAATGTGAGAGAGACTAGGGTGGAGGAAGGGTAAAGAAAAAGGGAAGATAACAAAATCGGGAGAATCCCGATGAGTCATGTGAGGGGAAGCACTGAAAGGTAAAGAAATAGGAAAGAAAAAGAGGTTGTTCCTCCATAACTTCCATATAACCACCCAACTTCTCCCTCTCATCATATAATATGCACCATTTGCACTGATTGCATAAGTGGATGCATAACGAGCCCATTAAAATCCTTTTAGTTTCAACCAACCAGGCTGATTAGAAAACATCAGAAATTGTGTTTATTTTTGTTTCAGTGTGTCTTCATGATACGAATCTCCAATTACACGTGATGGCTGAAGAGCGCTAACGTAACTTTCTTTTTCGGTGTGATGCGAAATGTTAAAGCATCCAAAGAAGAAAAAGAAGAAGAGTTGTGTTTGCTTATTAGTGAGATGATGTTTGCTCACTGTATTTAACTTCTCAGAAATGCTGCTCTGTTGTTTGTACTGTAAATGACAGCCGGCCAGGTGCCGTCCATCAAAGCTGCAGTTGTGAGTTGATGAACTGTGAATTGCAGGTCACACACACGGTAGATCGCTGTTTTGTCATTGGAGGTTGAGCGCTGACTCACTAACCTCTATCTCTGTTTCCCAAACATCCCAGGCCGCAGTGCTGCAGTGTGCATGCACGCGCAACAACAACAGCAACGGTGTGTTTCGTGCTATTTGTAAGCGGTCTCAGACGGGAAGGCTGTTTTGACAGTCTGGCGAAATCATGGGACAGAGATTATCAGGAGGCTAATGAGCTAAGGATGCTGGGAAAAGATAAAGCGCTGTGGTTTTCCTGATGCCTGGTGGTTGAGCACAACATCGTCTCTGTTTACATATTCGCTTAGATTTTCTCAATGGATAATCCTAGTCATACGATTTATTTGGTTTGCTGGTTTTGTGTGTAACATTACTCTGAGATGTTGTCTCACTTTGTTATTGTGCAGCTTTAAATCAGTAGCTTGATGCTGCTTGTATTCGGGTTTCAACACTTAACAAGAAACTACAGTCAGAAGAGAAAAAAACATCCTTGCTAAAAAAAAAATAGCCAAGTTTTAGCTTCAAATTTTGACATCCATCCATCTTTTTTTCCACTTATCCACTTCAGGGTGATGGTTGTGGGTTGTGGGGAGCCTGGAGCCTATCCCAGCTGCTATAGGTAAGAGGTGGGGTACATCCTAGACAGGCTGCCAATCTGTCAAAGAAAGCTGGGACAACTAAGGCTAATCGAAAAGCAGCAAATTTCAACCTACACCTCCCAAAATATTCATATTCTCTTAAATATCATTAGATATGCTAAAAGTATTGTAAAGAAAGAATCAGCTGATTCTGATGGGTGACCAGCTGTTACAGACCCTTATTTACAAGGAGGTCACTACAGTTTGTACCTTCTTGTTTGATTTGGGAAAGTTTTTATCCCAGATGCCCGTCCTAATGTAACATTGAGGGGTTTGTGTATCCTTGTCTGGTGGAAGTGTAAACTACTACACTATGGAGTTTGCAAACTTAAAAAATTTGGGTCCCTTATTTTTCTTTCTTTTAATTTTAGAGCAAAGAAACCCATATTTAATCCAGATATATGGATTTAATTTGAAAGTGAAATCAAACAAAGGAATGTGGCTCAGGAATGTGAGACACAAAAGCTTAAAAAAATGGCTGATTGCTCAAAATCAAAGGCGCCAAACTAAAGGTGAAATCCAAAAATGATTACCAGATATGGACTAAAATTTTGAGAAAGCTGTTTTTGGATGAAAGAAGAAATACATGAGCGTAAGAAGAGTAGAGCACAACATTTAGTTTGCTGGGATATGGTCACCTCTGCAACACCCTGATAACTGCCGCCGCTAGGGAAAAATTTGTATTAACAACTGGTGAAAGAATGTTTGCAGATAAATTGGCATTTTCCATGCAAACTACAGGTAACTTTGGCAGTCTTTTTGCAACCAAAGCAATGGCAAGGAGGTTTTCCAGACTGTATATCTCTTTGTGACCTATTTCACATAGCATCAGCCAACAACCACTCACCAGCTGAGCAGGAAATAGACATTTTTCCCTAGCAACCTGGGGTTAAAAGGGGGTCGCTGATCAGTCTCTAGGCTGATGTGACTGAAGCCTTACTTGCTCAGGCAAATACACAGCAGTTGTGTTCTGTTGGCTGAACGTTTGCATGAATTCAGATGTACTCAAACTCAACTCTAACTCTGCACACATTGAGCTTCATTATTCTCACTCATATCTCTTCCGGCTTCCTTCTCTTCTCTACTCTTTGTTGGTCTTTTTCCCTCTCTGTGTGTGACTGTGTGTGTCACAGTTCTTATTAATAGAGTAGTACCTTTTTCTTCTTCTCTGGCTTCTTCCGAATTTGAAGCTTTCTTGTTTTTTCATTTCCTTGTGAATCGCTCGTTGCTTTGATCCCCTCTCTGCTTCCTTCTTTGGGCATCTCCTTTCAGGATACTCTGCTGCCGCCGCTGCTTTCAATTCTGTCTGTATGTGCCGTCTGTGAGCAGAATGTCATCCTTAAAGCAGCAGGTATTCACATGTAGGTTTTTGCCATGAAGGGTTTGTTTTTGTACAGTTCTTGTATATCCAAAACCCCCACCCACCCACCGCCCTGAGTTTACAGAGTGAAAACTAACAGTCCAGTGTGTTTCTGTTAACTTTCCTCTTTACTATAAGCAATGGCAATGTGTCTTTAATCCGAATAACAGAGTGAAAACATATGCGAGTGTATGATTCCTGTGTTAACAGTTGGAGGCCTCTCCAGGCGTCCCATTAGCTAAGCAAAATAAGAATACAAGCGCGAGCCTAATTTCCTTCAGGATGCAAATTTGACCTTCTTTTCTGAAGTGATAGAAGTCATGAGGCTACAAAAGGACAGTTTATTTCTGCAGGGTGAACAGTCTCTGGGTTGCATTAAAAGGCTGCTAATACAGAGTGACAGAGGTTAAAGATGCAGACATAGCATCATCAGCTTGGCATATGGATCTCATCGTTGCTCGGCGCGCTCAAAAGGGCAGTGCCTTTGGGATCTGCTCGAATATTAGGACTAAACAGGGTTTTACATCACAGTCAACAGGAAGGAGCAGATGAAGTGATAGCGTGGGACAATCGCCCTGTATTCGAAACATGCCAGTCAGTATCTGCAGAGCATCTCTGCTCTGCTGGGGAATGCTGAAGAGAAGAGATGGTTTGCAAAAGCCCCTTTGGATTTAATCTGAGGATCGCCAAGTTTATCTCAAAGTGAGAACAGAAGCTGAAGTTACTGCCAGAAAAATCACGCCTAGCAAGTTTCGCTTGACCTCTGCATCACATGCGTTTGGCTGTGCTTCAGATTTGACTAGATTGAAAAAGGGAAGAATTGATGTGTCTGCCTCCAAACTCCTTTAAACTGTAGTAATTGATTACGTGCAGTTGCTATCTTTTACCCGGTGGCATCATGCGTACACTGTTAAAGAGAGACTTTGTGAGCCCGTGGAGAGTCATGTGAATCACAACACTGATCTTAATTTGAGATGGTCTTTGTGAAATATTGGAAAATCTTACTGAACTTTTAGACAGTGGGAATTTTTCCAGCTGGGTTAAGAGCTGCATCGGTGTACTCGTGCATCTGCAAAAGCAGTCTTTAAAACTATTTTCACATCCCCAAATACCCAGACGTAACCCACAGATTCCCAGGTGATCAGATTCCATCTGTGAGACCCAAACATAAGAAAGGTTTTCATTAACTTAACCTATTCTTCACTACTCTGAGAGCTCCCTAAATGGCTACTCTACACCCCAGACTCAGCTTTGAGAGTTGCTGGATTGTACAGTCCTGTGTGAACTTAGTGATGGAGACTTCCTCGGCGTGGTGTGAGCGGTGGTGCATATCAGGAATGTAAAAACCAGATGACCACAAATGGAAACTCCAGGGCTGATGGAGGCAGTCAAGCAGGCCATCTCGCTAGCTCTAATAAACACTCTGACTCCTTTCTGCAGTCGTCTTTCTCTTTCTTTTTTAACTGCCTCGCTCAGTTTCCCAACCTGGCTTAGCATCGCCTCCACCACGCCCCACATGTTGGACTGCCGCCTGGTTTTTGTCCCCCCTAGGGCTGAAGCTTAAGTTCAGCTTCAGCCAAGGAGAACAGCAACGTCATCTCCGAGTCCCAAAGTTATAATTTTCATCTGTTAATTATACAGAAGCAGAGATGAGCTAAATATATACATGTGGGTCTGAAGAGGGAAGCAACCGAGAAGAGGGGGCTCAAAGTACGGCCGCGCTTCTTCCAAACGCGGGCGAGGGGGGTGGAGAGAGTCAAAAGGCCTGCTGGAGCCCTGTGGTTTTTCTGTTGCTGAGGCCTGCTTCTGAAAACAACCAGGAAAGAAAGAGAAGAAAAGGGGAAAAAGGGGAAAAAGAAGGGAGGGGTAGCAAGGGAGGGCATCTTACTGCAGTGGAGCTCCGACGTGACGCTCTGATTGCTCCCAGCGGTTGTGGTCAGTACAGTGGAGCGGTGAGGGGTGGGGAATACAGTGCAAGGAGCAAAGTTAGCTCTCTGCCAGATGTCGTCATAGATCCCGTCAGTATCAGAAGACTCGTTATACGGTACAGCTGGGAATTTACCTGATAAAACCCAGCCGTCGCCTCATAGTGGCTTTCAGAAGCAGCAGGATGTGGCTGTTGTTTCGGTCCTCTTTGTTTCATGTTCTTTGGCTAAGCGTGAGGGGATGGGACATGACTAAAAACACCGTGGAAAGAGAGCAGATCTTTAGCAGGAACCAGTGTGTTTTGATTTAAGCGTTCTTGGTGACTGCTCGGCCGTCACACATCTTTCATGCATCAAAAGGTGGAACGTTTTCAGACTTCCAGATTTCAGACATGTCTGAAAAGAGAGGAAGGATCTAGCATTCACACCTGGCTCTTTAAAATGAGCCAAGTGGTTTTACAGTCTGAGAGTCTTAAAGTTCAGACCTATAGTAACTATTAAGGTCAAACGTAGGCAACTTGATAGTATTCATGGCAACTTTGAGCTCTCACCCTTCACTAAAAAATAAGCGGACACAAAAAGTTAAACTGTTAATGCATGCATGAAATATCCAGTAAGAGACGAAGCTTCTTCTTCATTTTAGTTCCGTTTTATTATCGAAGTGACCTGAACATAAAACATGCAGTCGACTAGAGGAGCCACTTCTCGTTAATTAGGTTAAAGTGGAGCACCGTCTCTCCACTTAGTGTATGTCATAGTGTGTGTGTGTGTGTTTTGCCTGTATGCTTCATCGCTCTTTATCACATGCACAAATAGAAACCATCTTTTCCTTCATACATCCAGGTTTGATCCCATGCAATATGGCCTGCGGGTCTCTCCTTGCTATGAAAAATTTATAGCCACGAGAGACCCACCCATTAAATTTGAGAAGTATAAATGCGACACTATCAGATGTTGAAACTTTTTGAATTTGCTTCCAGAAAGCCCGTCCAACAAAGTTCAGACAGGGAGAGCAAAAGCCTGCAAAGATTGTGTCATGTTAAAACAAAACACCGGCCAACAACATGAAGAAGATCATCCCAGTGGAGCTGAGGACGTTACATGTAATTGGAGGAGAAGTTCATCACTGTGGAAGACTTAAGAGGCATTCACACAACTATATATGGGGATTAAATAAAGATTCAGATAATCTGAATCTTGTAAACTGCCTGTGGATGGTTTTGATATTCAGGCTGTTTACAGGAAAATCATTTTATAGATCCAGGAGCATTTTTGAAAACCATGTCAGTGAATAGTTGGTTCTTTTATCGTAAGCGATGCAATTCAAACACACTCAGAAACAGTGACACTTACTGTGTGCCTGAGATTATTTTTAGGGTTTTTCTTGGCTTACTTGCACATCTGTGAAGGCAGCATTAATGCTGAATGATACATACATGCTGCAATTCCACCAGCATGCTTTTCAAGACAATACCAAGATATTGTCCATGTGCTCAGTTTGCCTGCCTGCAACCCAAACCTGTTACTCATTAGCAGAATTTGACGACTTATTTAAAAAATCTATACCAGAGGAGTCCCCAAACTCTTGAGTATTTATTTGCTTTAAAGATTACACCTCTCTTCCCAAGCAATCCCAGAATTCTGTTAAAAGAAGAGGTGATGTGCACGTTTTTGGAACGCGAGTTGTAAAACAGGGCAAAAATCCATAGGATAGATTATTCTCAACACTCACTCACACATCTCTTAGTGTGTTTAATCATTTGTCAGCAGACTGTCTGTTAATGGATTCATTTCTTAGCCTTTAATTAGCTTGATTGAGCAAAGAAGTGACATTTTTGTGGTTTAGCCTCCAGCCGTGCAGTCTGGACTGTCGTCGTTTATGTGCTGCGTTATTTAAATGAAACAATAGAGGAGGTATTTAGAGTGCGTCTCTGCGTAAATACGCGCCTGCGCCGCCGCTGTCTGAGCCCAGATGTTTAAATCGTCCTCTCCTGTCTCCTCTCCATCTGCTCTCTTCAACTTCCTGACTCTTGCTTCTGCTTTAGATCACTCTCTGTCCTCATTTTTTATTCCCTCCAAGTTTCCCCCCCTTTACCCCGGTGTTCGCTCTCCAACATCTGTCAACGCCCCCACCCTTTCGTGTTCTGCTTCCTGCTCTGTATCGGGCATTTTTGTCCACGTAGATGCTTTGTAGGCCGGCGGGCTGACTCATGTATCCCAGCGTTCCCTTGTGGCAGAAGTAGCACAATAGGCACATTTTTTTTGTGTTATAATTTCCAAAAAATGGGTTATATGAATGAATCATTTTGCCTATACATTGAATTAATGAATCAATTCTTGTGAAAAGGAGCAGATTGTCACATTTGGGAGGCTGGAGTCCTAGTCCACCTAGTTAAATGATTTAAGAAGTTATTATCAGTGCTAAATGATTACCTGTGATTTAGGTCCCTAATTGAGATTGTGTTGTTACTATCAACTTATCTGATGTGTTAAGCCAGCCGAATGATTGTTGATTAACACTGCAGTAAAAGAGTGACATGCTATAACACTGAAAGCCAAAGATTCACTGGTTTGGCAGGTTTTGTAAGACTTCCGTTATGATACACCACAGCTTCAGATTTCACGCTGTTGGGCATCAATGTTTTTTTACTATTTTCGGGACTAAACAGACATTAATCTTAACCTGGTTAATTATAGAAAGAATCTTTTTGTGGCCTGTTTTTAAAGCAGTGTAATGTCGGTTCAGATTAAAAGCTTGACTCATATCAGTTATTACAGACTTCTTGTACATTATTAGCTTCATGGAGCTAATAATATCTTAAGTGTGTGAGTGAGTGGGCGGGAAAAGGTGACTAAAGAGTTGATATTTCAGTTCTCAGCCAGCTCACTTGGGCTGATGTCATGTGGAGTGCATGCATAATGCAGTGGGTTTAACACAGAAGACGCTTCTTCTGGTTTGCAGATTTGAGTCATGCATTGTTGTTGTTGTTGTTGTTGTTGTAAAAGTCCTCTGGCCAGTCAGGGAGGGTTAGACCACCCCGGTACCACCTCAGCTGTGTGTTGATTAGATATCTGACCCTTGCACGTTTCGTCTCGCTCTGCACCTGCTATCGTCTCCGAGCTTTGCACAACAGAGACCACAGCAGGTGTGACCTCCCTAATATCCAGCCGCAGTCTCCCACCCCGAGCTTATCCATTTGTAACTCATTTACAACCACAAATCGCAGATAACGGCTTACAGGTCGGCTTCTTGCACTTCCTCGCCCTGGGCACACACTCATGCCACCTATTGTTGTAAAACTTTACATTTACTTGTAGCTCATCACCCTTTGCTCTTTCCCCTGCGGCCCAGTGCCCTCTGGGCTTTCCCCCCCACCCATCTGCTTTTAGACCCTGGGTTGCAGCTGCCCTCTAGTGTCTGCTGTCTGCTCACTACATCATGAATGCTGTTACAAAGGCCTATAGGTTCCATGGCATGGGGATTTACTGGAGATTAAAGTTAAAATTAACCATCTTAAAACAGCTACATCCCCTTTTTTCACACAAGCGCTTGCTTTTGTACAATCCACTTCAGCAGATTACGCTTAATGTCTGTCTAGACGGAGAAATCGACTCCATGCTGATGCCATCTAGAGCCAATTATTGAACCGCTACATGTGAAATGTGCTCTAATAAAACTTTTATTCACTCATTCTTTTATTAAAATAGCCTCATGTTTCATAACTGTAGATTATATTTAGTTAAACCTAAGAAATACTGAGGCACAGAAAAGTTTTTCACAGCCGCTTTGTGAACACTCTTTTAAATGTTTTCTTAAAGCACAAAGGCAAAAACAAAAGTCCCCAATTCTTGGTGGGAAAATGGAAAAGACAAACAGCTTTGTTTAAGGAAAAAGTGTGGCTTTGATTTGTTTGTTACTCATCTTGGGGGACCCCCTCGGAGGTTGGTAACCGTGGCGGTGCATCGGGCATATATTTGTGGTAAAATCTGAATCATTCCTTAGTTTCCAGTGTGATGACACAGATAACTCATGTGGGCTCCTTTATCGCCTTTCCTGGCACATGTTGAGTGTGTCACCGGAGTTTGTCTCACCAGAGGCGACGGGATTTTCCTCAAGGGTTTCCAGACGTCAGATTATAATGATATTAAAGTTCTTTATCTATGTATTGTCTTTGTTGTGTCAGTCATTGTAAGCATCAAACCCCGTCTGTCCTTTTCTGACCCTTTTTGTGCCTTTTCTTGCAGCCTGTGTTTAGAGAAGACACCCTACGGTTGTGTCTGCAGCGCGGTTTGTTAGCGACAGGCCAACCAAGCGCTCAGTCAGCACTCTGAATGGCTTCACTCTGCTCTTTCTTGCCTTTTTTCTCCTCATCACAGCTCTGTTTTGTAGATGCAGCAGAGAAGAGACAGACTTTTGTTTTGCCTTGCGAGGAAGCTGGAAGTGGGGAAAACAAAAAGGGTAGGGAGGCCACTGTGTGTTAATCGGTTGGCTCACTGTCATGATCCGACTATGAGAGGGATTAAAACATATCGCCAGACTAATCTGTCCCTTACACCAGCAGGCAGTTTTCACTTTCCACAGATGTGTTTGTTGTCGGAGAGCAGTGAGGGGCAGAGACGTCGCTCCTCTGAGAGCTGCGGTGCATGTCGGGATTTGATTTCCTGACATTTCCAGGAGTTTCGCGCTCCCAGGTTAAGATCTAAAAGAAACGGGGGGAAGAAAAAACCTCGAGTGCTGTTTACTGAGCATTCAAATCGTTACAAGCTAGATAAAAAAAGGTATGCTGTTATGATTTAAATTAAGCCCATATGCAGGTGATGTCTGCCTGCTCGGGCATGTTTCGGCTAACCAGTAGACCATGTGCTTTTGTTCGAGCTCCTCACGTGTGGCTCACATCAGATAAACTGTAACTCAATGCCTTTATTTTCATTTTTCTTTTGCCAGCCATCTCTCTTTTTTTCTCACTTAACCTCCTGTTTTTGTAAGTGCCGTCATGGTTCATGAAAGGGTGACAGAGAGAAAGAGAGGGTGTGAGACAGCCAGAAACCTTTTGTTTCCAAATTAGGCACTCCTCCCGCCTCACTAAAACTAACTGTTATTGTAAAAAGTGCCATATGAAATCCCACCTCAGTGCTGCCGCTTTGAAATGGATGCAGATTTTAAATCCCCGTCTGGCTTTTTCTTTCTCTCGCATCTCCCCCTCCTGGTGATGAATCGGACCTCCCCCTGGTGATCCGGCAGGGCGGTTCCGGCTGGTGGTGCATTGAACCCGAAGCTCTGGTCTGAACCACAGAGAGAAGACAAACCCCCCTGCAGCCACAGCCTTCTGACTTTAAGTGGAACCATAATTACATAGCCTAGTGTATTTATACTCAGCAGTGACTCAGTGGGACATGTGGCATGTGCTTGTGTGTATGCATGTGCACAAGAAAACCAGCCTTTTGTATTCACATGTAACTGGTTTCTGTGTGTGTGTGTCTGCCTGTGTGTGTAAGTGAAAGTCTACTGACTCAATAAACTAACTGGGGATAAAGTGAGGTGTGGATCCACCTCAATGTAGTTTGTTATTTTTGCAGGAAAGATCATTAAAAGAGCCACTATGTGACTCTTGGAAGTAGAAAAATAGAAAATGTGTGACGCCCATAAAAATGATGTTCATTATTATGATGACGTACGAATTAGAAGAAACTATTAAGTGCATGTCATGCAGTGCAAGCGCCTTGCTGCTTTAATAGGCCTGTTGCTAACATGCACAAAATTGAACAAGATCAGATGTTTGCATGCTGTGTATGAATACATGGAGCTTATTAATAAAAAAGCTTTTTAAAGCCTTTCCAATGTTTGCTGTAATGCAAAATTGAGAACATGAAGAGCATGGCCTGCGAGTGATATGTGGGTGACTGCAGGCCAATTATAACATTCTGGACTCTTGATCAAAGATCTCCCATAATGTAAATCAGAGTTTTATTGTAAATAAATTACTCTTTACATCATTCAATGACTGATCCCACAGACTGCACATAAAACATGGTTGTATTGAACGCAGGGATCTCGAAGTGATCACATCTGGATGAGAGCGTAGCTAGCTTGAGTAGCAAAGCGATTAGCATCACACAGATACTTGTGAAAGAATGATGCACAGAAACTAAACTGCTTGAATTTCATTCACCAAAACTGACGTGTAGACTTTGACTGACTGTTGTCCTGTCACTCAATGTTGCATAATTTTACACCATAATGAAATTTAAATTGGTAAGTAGAGATGTAGAGAAGGGAGACGTTAACTTCACAGTTAAGGAAGTATCTTTAGCCTTTCCAGATTTGCTTCATTTTTCAGCCTTGCATTTTCAACCTTACATTGCACAATATCTTAACTTCCTGGGGTAAATGTAACATATCTTCCTAACGCACATGTATGCATCCTTGTGTGTTTGCACAAGATTAACAAAAAAAAAGAAAAAGTGACCCACACGGAAGAGAAACACAGGATATCATATTAAAGTGCTAGATGACACCGAAACGCTTTGAGTTCATATTTTATATTAACTGTGTTTTATATTTTTTGGTACTTTTATTAGACAGGCCACTATTATTCACTCTTCTTGGGGTATGTTTCTGCCTGTGAAAGTAACAGACTCGTTAATTTATCACCTCCTCAGTGAGTATAAACTATCAAAGCCTGCAGTGTGTGTGTTCTTGTTGGCATAGTGCGACATATCCAGAGGGTACGGTGTTTTTTGCGGATGACGGCCTTCTCCAGTCGAGTTGGAACTTGCCCCGCTGTTCGGCAGGTGAAACCTGTCTAACCTCATCGGTAACGGATGCTCGGCAGGTTAACAGTGACGACAACTGGAGGGGAACGTTGGCTGTCTGTAACAACAACATGGTTACCTGTCTTCCGCTCTCGCACGTACCCTGGACGCCTGGCTGTTTGGTGAGAACTCACCCCTGACTGATTTAGTGGTTTTTAGGTGTCACTGTGTTGTATATGGGTGGATCCTCTGGGAAGGAGTGTGTCTGCACGTGAGAGTGGGAGTATAGGCTTGACAAAGAGGTCATATTGACATCCAGTAGCGACCGTGTTATTTTCAGAGCTTTTACAACCACAGCAGCGCCCGTTGCTCTCCTTCTCTGTCTTTGGCAGCTTTTTTCCATGTTCTCTCATTATCATTCTCCCTCCTCTGTGTTTTCCCCTCCTAACTATAAGAAAAAGCGAGTAGAAGACTAAGCATAGCAGCCGCAAATGTTTTTTTTCCTCTCTCTTTGTGCTGCAAATTGGCCTCTTTCTCTTTTCTCTCTCTTTTTTTTCCATCTCCCCTTTGAGTGGAGGGGAGGCGGTGGAGGCAGGGCTGGCTTTTGTGGAGTTTAGCAGCGGGACCAAAGCTCTGTCACTGTGTTTGTGTCGCTCACACACACATATGTGCAGCACACGTGCAGCACAGGAAGGATCCAACGTGGATTTAACCTACCAGCAGCAACCCTACAGGAGATCTCTTCACCTGGACTGTTAACAGCTGACCCGCTCTCGGTTTTTCCCAACGTATGGCTTCAAGAGTTCCGCTTTACAGTGCACAGGTGTTTGTTTACTGATGACAGTCAGACCGGTTCATGTGGAAGGAGTCAGTAACTGTCTGGATACAGTCCGAGTAACAAAAACAAGGACTAAAGAGAAAGCAAAAGAGGAGAAGCAACAGAAAAGCAACAGATCGAGTAGCTGATGGTCGCTGTGATAAAGTAAACATTCGGGATTAAGATGAGAGAGAGATGAAGTTTGTCTGGCACTAGAGGTAGAGAGGGAGGGTGAAAGGAGAGAGTGGGGGCAGTGGGAGGGAGGAGAGACAGAAGATCCAGCCCTCTGGGACAGCAGTTGTGTGTTTTGGGGGGTGGACAGAGTGGCTTTGAATGCAGAACATCACTGGACACCGACAGGAGGGTTGCTGTCAGTTGGTCTCTGTGTGTGTGTCTGTAGTGAAACCAGACCTACCTCTGATCCCTGCACCACACACACACTCTATCTGCTGCCTTTTTCTTCCTCTGGTTTGAACCCCCCAATAGTGCGGATGAGGGTCTTGGAGAGCTGACCGATGGAGGTCAGGAGCGTCAGGCTGTGATGTGTAACTTGTTAGATTAAACTTTCCCGAGGCTCAGCAGCAGCAGCAGCAATGGACTGGAGCCAGGAGGCGTGAAGTTAAATGACTGGAGAATCGGAAAACACTAAAAGCAGCCACCCTGTCTTGGCTCGATTGTAGGTCTGTGTCTGGACACCGTCCAGGACTTTGTGTTGGTGCTTGAGTGTGTGCAGCCCATGTTGGTGGCGAGCGATGCGGATCTGACCAAACTCAGCGCTCCGATGCCCGCTGCTATGCTCCCGTGTCCTGCGCCAGCCGGGTCTGACTGGAGCTTCCAGAACCCGGTGGGGGTGGACTGCAGCTCCCCTGAACCTCGTTGCATTTGGCTGGCGGTTCTACGTGGAGGCACGACCTCGGAGCCACCCACTTCGCCACCTGCCATGCCTATTGGGCACAGCCAGAGCTCTCATCAGCCCAGGGTAAGAAGGGGTCACCGGTCTTCACCCATCTAACGTTAAGATGTGGTGACTGTGGCTAAAAGCATCAGTCAGTGGCTGCTGTTAAATGACAAGTTGAGTCCAAATTAAATGCTTGAGCTAGATAACTTGATGAGGATTTCCATCAGTGTATTGATCCCCATCACAGCTTCTAATAGCAAGATGTGAAATTCGTAGGAACTTCCTGTTTTATCTGTTTTTAAAAAATAAGATTTATCAGTTAAAACTGTACATTGCTTGTTTGAATAGTTTCTCATAAATTTTTCTGTTGTCAAATGAATTGACCAGATTGCTTATTTAACATACTTCCTGCTAAATCCTCGGCCACTTTACACTCCAAGACATCGGAGATGTTTTTTGTCGTGCTCGTGGTGACTTTTGTGCTTCTCCAGAATTAACACAGCAAACAATGATATCAGCAATACTCTCCAGAAACCGCTGTGTGCAATTAGTCATGCATGTCAGCAATGCTTCTCTGTAACTGTACTCATTGTTTGGAGCCGGTTAACCCCTCAGCTGTTGGTAGATTCTTTAAAGTTTCTGGAGAAATGCCTGTGTTGCCTTCAGGCTCTTTTTTTTTTTTTTTTGGCAGGTGCACTTTGTTTAGACTTCTTTGAGTGGATCAATATAATTAAGAAAGTGTAGTTTTTACCTACAGTCAAGGTGGCTTTTAGCTGCAGTTGGCCTGCAAAGACTTATACAGGACCACGTACACACCGGACTATTGAATTTGTTGTGGACTTGTTAATTCTGATCAAAAATATACTTAGAATTATGAATTTAAGATCAGATAAGCTACATTTAGCAAATAAAAATATTTCCCAGTTTACTCACGTTTTCCATCCATTGGTTTAGGAATGGCTTGCATATTGACCCTTTTCTTCCTCTGGGGAGCTTCTAATTACTGGCTAAGCACAGTTTAAGGTGGCTTCTAAGTACCACTTTGATCGAGGTGTCATGCAGTTGTACAGCTGTGCATCCCCACCCCCAAGTCCCAAATGCCCTCAGAATTCAGGCCATTACTTCCTCATTTAACCGTGATCATTTATGTGGAATATCACATCTTTTTTCACTGCTTTTTTTTTTTTTTTTTAATGGTTCTCATCATCCCCTTCCCCCAGACTCATTGACACAGTTTAAAAAAAATGCCATAGTGAGAAATGTAAGTGTGGGGGGAGGAAAAGGAGAGGCTGTACCGACACAGCTGGGACAAACAGACACTGTACACTGTTTACATTTTAGGAGAGGGGGAGGAAGAGCAGTTGCACCTAGCTGTCTCTATCTGTTACTTTAAGTTGAAATATGCACTTCTACTATCTTTCTGGCACATCATAAGTCTGGTATCTTGTTCTGCTTTATTATCGTTGAGATTTATTGCGTTTGAGGGATCACAGGATTGGCGCATTCAATTCTTTTTGCATTTTTTTTCTTTACATTCAGCTGCCGGCACGACCGCAACACCCTCACGAGTTGTAAAGGTGAAAATCTGTCATGTAAAAGTGTGATAAAGTGCAGTGTTTTGTTGCACTTTCACCTCTTTGTTAAAGCAAAAAGTCGAGGCAGCGAGGATAAAAAGTCCCTGGTCAGATTTAAACCCACGTCACAGACTAACTGCCATGTGCTGCTGCCCACTCAGCTATCAAGTCATGCTGTAAAAGTTATTCTAAAACCGCTCCTCCTGGAAATGATTCTAGGCCTTGGATTGAATTAAAATAGCTTAAATGAACTTCACTGCTACCAGTGATGCAGGTTTCACTTGGACAAATAGGCATGTTTTGCTATTCATGAGAAAAAAACCCTGTTTAACAGACATTGCATCATCACCTGTTGGCCTGGTTGAACTGGTCTGGACTGTGGGGCTGGACTGGTTTTTCAGCAAACATTCTGCATTCACACACGTTCGCAAGTATGGCCCCTTAAACATATTGTTATATAAATTACAGAATCCGCCGGCTTCCTTAAGAGAGTAAAGGTGGATATTCACGTGCACGTCATACATTTGTGAGACATAGGATGCTCATGGAGGTGCAGAGGTGGGGGAGCGCTCTCTGTGTGTGGCCGGTGAGTCCAGGAATTATCAGGATGAGATGGTTTGGCTTTTTTTCGCGCCGTCCCCCTCTCCTGTTCCCTCTTGGCAGCTCGGCTCCGGGCTGCGGACGCAGACAGCTATGACCATCGGGATTAAAGGCTCGTCAGCATTTGTAACAGCCGCAAAGCTCCACTTTTCAAACAGGTTGCAGCTCTCAGCTGTTTAAAAGAGCATTATTGTTCTGTCCTGCTGGGGTTTTAGCAGGAGCCGGGCTCCCTGACAGTCACTGCATTCCTCTGAACTGCTTTACCTCTGGATGGAGCGAGGACAAGAGTGTGTGTCTGTGTGGACGTGTGCTACCCTACACGTACGCTGTTCCCGACGATTATGCCGTCAGCTTTACAATATTGTCATGTCCTAGAAAAGCCTCTTAAGACTCAAAAATCCTTTATTACGGGATTTCAGGGGAGATTACCACCCCCGCTGTTTATTTATAGCGTTTTTATTCTCTAATAAAGCTGATGGGGCTCTAAAATTTTGGCGCCGCAATTTAAACATCAAACATTTCCTCTGGATTTTATAGATGCAGCATGCTATGTTGTCCTTGAGCTGCTCCTTTCTTGTCTTATCAGTCCTGCATCTTAATTATATGGTTCTTAATTGAAATCAGGAGGAAAATGTCCTCGGGGAAGAGCCGGCTGCTGCTGCTGTGTGTTGGCAAAGCACACCACTTTACCCACTAAACAATCACTCAAAGGAGGAAGCTGTGGTGTGACATTACAAGCTTTTCTGCATATTCAGTTGTTTCCAATGAAGCATTTTTTTTACTCTTTTTTTAATGACATCATCTACAGGTGATAACAGGATTCTTCAGTTCTCTGTACTCGTTGAAGTTTATTTGCTAATCAGCCTCAGCAGGTAATACTTCTTTCGGCGAAAACAATGTGAAACAGTTTAAGTTCCCACTTGCAGGGCAGGAAATACCAAATGTCTTCTTTTCTCAGCAAAACAGGAGCGAGGTTTCCCTCGTCTGTGCTTCCAGCCTGCGTAGGAAGTCAAGATTAGACTGCAAAACCGCAGAAACAATTTTCCAAGTTCCTTGTTGGTTAAACCAAATGTCCTGTCCCGGAGAGGCCTGTCAGCGAGCTTAAACTGTTTTTTAATTTTATTTTGGTAGCGGTGGCAGAGGAAACTGGTCGAATCATGCTCAGAGGGCATGAGAGGGGGTTCGTCTTGTTTTAGGGGGAAAAGGTTGAGTCTAGATTCGGCAGAATGGCCGAGCAGAAACACAGCCCACACAGTCCAGAGCTGCAGAGTGGGAAACTGTCCTCCTGGCTCAGAGACCCAGGCAGACCCTGTGTGTTTTGGGTAATCACAGGGTTCAGTATTCTCAGCGCCGGGAGGGGCCATGTGGTCGAAACCGGCGTGCTGGAGCCTGTCCCTCGCTGGGGCCCGATACTCCTCCTCCTTCTGCGTCTCCTTCTCTCCTCATCCTTCTCGTCTCATTCACTCTATCTGTGCTCCCGCCCCTCCTGTGCCAGTTGCTGTGTGTGTTTCAACTTGTCCAAAATCAAACCGCGCCCTCCGAGGAATTCACTCTGTCTCTTCCTCCTTTCACCCCGTTGCTCTTTCATTTCCTCTTTTTTTTTCTTTCCTGGCCTTTTCTTTTTCTTTATCATTTTAATTTGACACTCCAAGCACTCCCCTGCCTTCCTCACGCACCTCTTTATGCGGCTCGCATAATAGGCCTCGCTGCATGCCTCTCTAAGAAAATAGAAGGGTTATTTTACATTGTTTAGACTGCCAGACTAAAGATCCAGCTTTGAGAATCTATGGATATCACAGTCTGTGAAACGTGCACATCATATCTTCCAAAATAATCTTTTGTGATTGGAAAATAGCCAAGATTAACCAAAATTATATTCGTTTAAGCGTTTTAACCAGCAAACATCTTGATGTTTCTGAAAGTAGCCTATAAGTACAAACTTATTTTTTGGTTTCTTTTTTCCCCCTCGATGGAATGTGAAATTAGAGGAAAAGAACATGTGCGGTAAATGTCGGCAGAGCCAGGTTTCCATTGCAAGAATAGAAGTGGAGAGAGAGGAAGAAGAGGTGGAAGGGAGGAGAGGTTGGAAGGAAGGAGAAAGAGGGGTGAAGAATGGAAGTGCCTCCATAACTCTCCGTGGTTATATTTGTAGGGTTATCCCGCCCCACAGTGCTGCCCCACTTCCTGCCTGAAGCCTGCCACTTCCTGTTGTTCTGTGGCCATGCGGAGATTTGCCAGGACAGGCCTGTGCGCGTTATTGTGCTTGCGTGTAAGCATGTTTATCGGGAGGACAGGAAGCGGAATGTGGGGTGTGCATCTAGATGATGTGGTCTAGAAATACTAACCCACTGACACGAAAACATGTATGCAACATACACAATCACAGAATCTGAAGACGCGCAAAACAGTTTAGGATTTCGACTTTTAAGGGCACACTGACTCATATCTCAGTGTGGTTTGAGTAATCTGAATCTCAGAGCATTCACTCATTTTTCATATCAAGCGACATGCACATCAAATCACACCTAAAATGACATCTGTGGCCTCTGTTTGTTGATTCATGGCTTGTACATTCATAAAATAAGTCCCTTTATTAGGGCTGTGCGATATGACCAAAATCTCATATCCCGATATAAGAATTCTATCGTCCCGATAACGATATAAATCACAAAAATGTAACATTTTCTGTAAATTCTGTGAATCTCGTGCAGCTCGACTTGCTGGAAGTGTTTCCAGCTGCGCGTCATGTAGCTGGAGTCGAGTGTTTTAACCGATGCACGAAACAATACATTTTTAGACATAAGTTGTAACGGCCGCCGTTTTCTTTGTGAGTATTTATTACACGGCGTGCTGCGGGGAAAAGCCTGTTCTAACGTTTGAGTCTAAGGTCTATTTTTTTAGCACCTGGCGGCTCTTTTTTTTTTTACTTCTCATCCGTAAATAATCTGCTCTTTCACGTGATTCAGTTTATTTTGAAAAGTCTCAACAGGATCTTGAGCTTTATTGTGAAAGGTTTATGTGGAACATAAACAAGCACACACGCGATGGTGTTAACATTGTCGTTGCTAACCACAATGCATAAAAACAGGCGCTTGTCCGTCCTAGTGTGGTTATATTAAATATAAGAGAAAGAGAGAGCTGTAAGAAATTAATATAGCCACTACCGTAACCATCAAAACGGTGAAAAAATATTGCCGTAAACGGTTTATTTTGCGACACTATGAAACAAACGATAGCGTGTTTTTATATCGTCATCCGATATATATCGTTATATCAAACAGCCCTACCCTTTATTGTATCTTTAAGGCTGTAATGGCATGTCACAGAGTGACCTTTGATAGGGGTGTTCATCCCATATTAAATCAATAAAACCTGTGGAAAAAACATAAGATAAGTAAAACATCCAGTATACAGATGTTTTTGTTAGTCATTAAATTAGTTAAAATGTGCTGAAGATTCTGTGTGGGGAGTAAAAATTCTGTTGTTGCAGGGTTTTAAAGGCTTATAGCACAAATTAAAAATGTATATTCAATTCAGTTTTATTTATATTGTGCCATATCACAGCAGCAGTTGCCGCATGCCTTAGTAAATGTGCAAAATCCAGGTGAATGTGAAGGCGGTCAAGCAGGTGGTACTTGTTTGTATCCGTTGACAGTTTTGTGCATTAATGTAACAGTTAGTAGGTGAGAGGTGGATCACATTTACTTTTAATAGACTCCTGTAGCCTTTCTCAGAGTGTATGATGTTAGCGTTTAACCAGTGTACGAACTTATTTGGGCAACCTTTACCTCTGTCATCATTTACTTCGTCTAATCTAATCTAATCTTCAAGTAGGATTAGATAAAATGTCATCATTTAATATGGTGTCCTCCTGAGCTCATCGTTGATTTAACCAAAACAGTGCGTAGGCGTAAAAATGTGCGCAATGTGATTTAAGATCCCCGTGCAGCTCCTGGTTTGCTCGTATCAGTGTCAGCCCTCATCTTTAGTTAATGAAAAACAAATCAATGTCTTTTTTTTGTCTAAATGATCATTTACTAAGAAGAAAAATGATCCGACTGTTTATAATCTGTCTTTCTGAAACTGTTAAAAATGTTATTTTTGTCTGCTGTGCATTGCATTTTTATGCTGTAGCATCCATCAGTAAGATGCTAAGAAGTTATTTTTACCATCAGTATGCAGAAGATTGCAGCTTTAAACAAAATAAAGCACGGCACGGTGACTGAAAGACCGGGCTGACTTGGTCGGACTAGTCATTACAGTGTTTTAATTTAAGTTTGGGAGAGTGTGAGAGTGCAGGGAGTTCAGTTTTACTAAGAAAAGTTTTGCAGTGACTTGATGTGTGCAGCAGACTTAAGCTGTGAGCTGGCACTCAGATTCCCTTCTTCCTTCTCTCCCTCGCTCCCACTCCTGCCTGTTTGGTCAGGTGATTGTGTTTGACTGACAGATGTGGGTCGATGGGGCAGCAGGCGGGTGATAGTTCTCACGTGTGTCTGTCAGCTGAGCTTGCCGGACTTATTTACTCGGCAGCAGGAATGAGAAATTTAGAGAGCTGTGCTGAAAATCTGCCTTTATTCTCCACTCTCAGAGTCCCTGGATCTTCTCTCCCTATAATAAGACCAAGGTCACTGTAGTCTGAACTGGGTGATACCCGCATTTCCCGCTTGGCCCCGTCTAGATATGGCCTCTTCCTGATAGTCCCCCCTGCCCTCCCCCAGGTGTGTTTATTGACTATTGTTCTGAGGCTGGGTGGCATGCAGAGGCTAGCAGACAGGACTTCACAAGGAAGCTGCTAATGAGCGGTCCGGCAGCGGCGGAGTTAATGTCACTGAGTACAGAGGCACCTTGTGCTTCTCCAGTGAGCCATAAATCTGGACAACTGCAGGTTTTTCTCGAGTGTTGGTGCGAATAATGGGAAAGAACTGATATTGCTGACATTTCTGATGCCCGTAAATCTTATTAGAAGCAAATATTCCAGCTTACTAAATGACAAATTGCAGTCATTTCGTATAAAATTGCTTTTCCTGCTGGGGGTAATGTTTTTAACCAGATCTCTTTGTGTTTACAGGCTAAGGGGCGGAGGGATGGTTTCTCCTCAGCCGGTGACAACCCTCGGCCGCCGATGGCGACCCGGCCGGGAAGGGAGGGGGTCGGCATGGGCTGGAAGGGTCCCCGGACGCTGGTCCTCCATAAGAACTCCCAGGGTTTTGGTTTCACATTACGCCACTTCATCGTTTATCCTCCAGAATCCGCTTTGCACACTAACCTCAAGGTGAGAGTCACAGATGTCTGCAGGTCCCTGAAACACTAGAAAATGCCTTAAATGTTAAAGGTGTTTAAAAGTGTTGAATTATGTTATAAAAATACCATTTGTGCTTCAGGGCTTAGTGTCACAAAGTACTTTGTGTTTGTTTTTACAGTACACATGGTCTCCATTTCATCCTAGCTGGCATTTAAAGGGGTTTCGAAGGCCTTAGCTTTAACTCGCTGAACTCAGGAGAGAGCCAATTTGAGCTCAGAGATAAAGCCAATCATACTGTGGCTGCGGGTCAGCGAGGTTGAGCGGAGCAAAATGAACACAAAGACAAAGGGAGAAAACAAGCCTGGGTGATTAGAGACAGCAGAAGACGAAGAAACCGAGCTGTTAGAGGAAGAGAGGCACAAGATCAGGAGACAGAACAAGTACCGGGGCTTCGATTTTACTACTTTGTGGAATTTAAAAAAACACCTTCATTTTACTCCTGTTTGTTTCACAGGCCTGTTTTTGTCCCTGGTGAATTCAGGCTTGTTCTGGTGTTGGGAAATGAGCCCGAGTGGTTATTTAGCTGTTTGAGGTGTGGGGGCAAACGTCTCCAGATGTGAAATTGAGGGATGTGGAGGCTGGGGTGGGGTGAGCCAGCTGAAACAAGGCCTCTATTATTTTTATACCACCCCACCATCTAGCAGCTGCTGATAGGAACACGAATTGAATGGGATCTGTTGTCTTATCCTGGTACCACTCACTGGCAGCCGGGCCGTACCATGCCAGCCCTAGACAATAGGCCCACTGCTGGCCTTTGGCCTCATTTCTGCCCTTGTCTCCTCTGCCTCAGAAGGGATCACATGTTGTTTTTTGGACAATTAGACTCACAGATCTGTCTGTTCTTATCTGAAGAGGCTTCATGGAAACCTCCCAAATTAACCTCTTAGTGTCCAATTAGTACAGATTCACAGGGTCTGTGACTCATTCATGCTCTTGATTTATAGGTCCACAGGTCGTCTGGGTCGTGGTTCTAACAGGACCCTTCAGCGTCTTCACAACCTTCTCTTGACACTTCCTCTTATTAGGATGTAACTTGATTTTTATTCACTTTGGAAAAAAAACAATATTTTATTTAATGTGAAATGAAGTGAACTAAAAAAAGAAGTAACTACAGTACCACAGATTTTTTTGTTACTTAATTTCTTTGCTTATTTACTCTGTGTAGTGTCAAAGTACTTGTTACTGAGTTACAGCATACAGCAGTCATGCTATTGCCATACATATAAGCTGAAATAAACAAAAGTACTCATTCAGATAGGGAGGACATACACTGGATCTATTTTTAGATGCTAGCTCCTTTTATTATTTATTATATCCTGAAGCCTGTAGTAGAAGATGTGAAAAACAGCTCTGCTTTTGTTACCTGGTCAAAATTCACTCATTCTGCGGAGACATTTGGGTGGTCTGTGGTCTTTAGCTACCAGCCTTGTGTTTCTCGGCACATTTTGCACATTGCTGTCACATTTCTTTCCTTACGAGCAATAAATTCCAAGCAATGCACATATTTGCCACCGTTGAACTGGGAACTGAGGAGACTGTTTTTGGAAGGGTTTATGTACCTGCATAACCATTTGATCAAGGAGAAGTTTCTTGGATCGAGAGGTCAAAGTTCAGTCGCTTTCCTCGGACTTCCATGACCTGGATGACTGAGAACCTCCCCAGATAACTATCCGTCCAGTAACTTTGATCTTAATACTGAATTTTGGACCAAAAGTGTGTTACATTACATTAAAGTAACACGTTATTAGTGTGATGATACAGTGAAGAATTGCTGTTTTATTATCACTGAAAACTGGGATGTACCTTGTGAGCAACAGGATGGATACGGATGCATTTTTGTGTAGGTTTAGAGTCTTTTGAATCCAGTGCCAGACATCCGCATAAATTAAGGGATGAGTAATTTTCCAGATGTATAGAATCCCTAGCATAGACTTTTGTGTCCACCTCTTCCCATCTCCTTCCGGATGTGGTGAAATTAGGACTGGCCGGGTGGTGAGTGTCCCCAGCTATGAGTTCTATTCTGGGGTCGGCAGCTATCCTTTCTCTGCCTCTAAACCCTCCACCATTGTCTGCAGAGCCCGGAATGAGCCCACTCAGCGCAGGATAAAGCCCGGCAGCAGTCAGCCCACCGTGCCCCTGCCCACAAACTGTCCACTCAGCTTAGTGTGTGTCTGTGCGTGTGTGTGTGTGTGAAGGTGATCAGAGAACCTGCAGCTATCAGATCTCACCACCTCGTTTCTCACTGTCCCCGCCTTTATTTACTCGCTGTGTGTGTGATGTCATGAGCACCTGCAGATTGTCAAACCAGATAGTCAGTGTCTGTGCTGGATCTGCAACATTAAGAGCTCATGAAAACAAACAGGTCGGTGTCAGGAGGTTTGGCATAAATTGTCAGTGAAGTCACCGACACGTGAGGGAAAGCTGTAAACAGTTGATCTCATCCTTCCACATTTTGGTTTCTGTTCAGAAAAAGGTCACCTGGGGTTGAGACCTGTGGCCAAAGTTAGAAGCCGTATGCTGCTGAAGTGTCTGTGTTTAAATCAGGAGTATGAGGGCCCTGTATGAGGCCTTTCTACTACATGATGTAAACCCCGAATCATCACTTGGTAGCATTCCTGCCTGGAAAAGTAGTGATAGCTTTTGTTTTTCCCCTCAGTTTTGTATAAGAGTTGAATGCTGAATGGGCATGAAAAAAAACAACACTTTATTATTGGTTGCAAAATTTTCCATGTGGCACAGCCAGTTTCCGTCCTGCAAATCTTTGTATATGGTCAATTTTGTGACAGTGTCTGAAGTAGCAACTTTTCCCACATTTCCAAAAGTAAAACCTTTTTTTTTTTTAAAGCTCAGCGCTTGCGTTGCATCACATGTCGACCTTTCTGTGCATGTGGAAAAGTTTACCCCTCGCTATCAGATCTCTCTCATCTAGAACTTCTTAAACGCGGCCAAGGACCATCTCAGCAAATGTGTTTGTAATTACTAGGACAACAATAAATGTCTCTTACAGGAATTTTACGCTTTAAATTTGCTCTAATATGTGTAATTCTGTCTTTCTGTTTGCAGGATGAGGAGAACGGTAACGGAAAGGGTGAGCTGCCTCTATTTTTTGCCTTCTCAGTCTTTTATTAGTGCTCCAGTTAAAGCTTACTACAGGGATAGGGATAATGATTGTGTAATTGAGGCAAGACCCTACTGTACTTCCCTCATGTCTCGCCTGCTCTGCAGCCTTTATGCGCCGCCTACAGGACGCTATCCAGTACTACATCTAAAAATCCACCTGCAGTTAGACTTCTGGTTCTCCAGCTTTTTCTAGTTTTCTTGACTTGAGATGCTGAAAAAAGTGTGAATATTTATCAATAAATATCAATAAGAAATTTAATTTTACATAAATAAACATGCAGTAGTATAAGCAGACTCTTATTTATTTTCCCTGAAAAAAATTTACCTTAGTTTTGCAACCCACAGTCTGACAACCTCTGAGTTAGATGCTCATGAACGTATTTACTCGTCTGAAAAAGTGCTACTTTCAGCTGCTACCTGGTTCACTCGGGGTTGGGACAGAAGGTAGCTCTGCATATGTGAATTGGAAGAATTTAACAGGAGATGCTCTTCCTATCACAACCCACGAGGCATTTGTGCCTCCTCCCGGGATTCACCTGACGAGGGAGTTTTCACTCGTGAGGTGAACGCGTAAACAACTACACTGGGGAGCCACGTCGCTCATGTCAAAAACAAACCCTTAACAAATATCTGATGGGCGCTGGTAGAAAGTGTCAGCAGTAACTGTTCGTAGGTGTAGCGCAGCAGAAGGGGAACAGATTTGTTTGAGCCTGCAGCTTTACTCGGCGCTTCTGAAAGATTTGTGGGTGTAGCGCTTATCAAACAACCAGCCTGGCGTGGACTCCCAGGTGATATTCATGAAGTAATCGCAAAACAAATACATCAGAGAGCACATCTGTATATCAATGTCATGTCTGCTTAGATATGCATGTGAATTTACCCAAATGAGTTCATGCAAAAAATGTAAACTAATGGATTGTTGTACTGTGCACCTCCAATACAGAATGGCATTTTATCTATGTTATTTTACTATTATTTACTATTTGACTATTGTTTACAATATTTGGATGATTAATAATATTATATAATATTATATAATGGTAAATGTTCATGTGTAACAACGTTCATACCCACATGTGGATTTCTTTTTCTTTCCTTGTGCATTAACTGAATCTGTCTATGTCCTGATCTTTGCGCATCCCCTCTTTTCATGTTGTCATTCAGGGTTTCAGAAAGGTCAGTTGGAGCCAATGGACACTATATTTGTGAAGAACGTGAGAGAAAAGGGTCCGGCCCATCAGGCAGGCCTGTGCACAGGTAAAAGGAACATGTTGTGCAGGAGTGAGGACGCCTCGATTTGCATTGGAAATCTGTTCTGCGTGCAGGTCACGTGACGCTGCACGAGCATGCAGAGAGAAGTTGACTAACAATAAAAACAAAGGAGATGAGAGTTATTACAGAACGAGAGCTCAGTGTGTGTGAGGTTTTCCTCTTGTGTATTTCTGTGACAGCAGAGCAAACCAGTACTCGGTGTTAAAGCACCAGCTTGATTTAACGCAAACTGACGCATCCACGGAGTTGCACGCTACCTCAAACGTATGCAAACACACGCCCTGCGAGCACCGCGTATGTGTTTCAGCTTGCATAAAGTAACTGCAAATGCATATAAAATTTGAGCAGGTAGTTATCGGACGCCTTTCCTCAAGGCCTTGGTTCACAAAAGCTGAGCTGTTCTAAACATACCTGTTCTTTATGCTTGAAAGCTATTTTAATTTTATTGATGTACTTTTTTGCCTTTAAGACATATTGAACACCACATGAAGTGAAAAAGTGTGAGATTAAGTTCAAGCTGGCTTTTGATGCCACCCAATACAGGTGATTTGCTTAATGTGGTTTTGGTTTTGCTGACTTTAGACAGCCCAGAGTCAATTATTCAAAAAGTTCACTACTTATTTTTCACTCCGGGTCATTATTATTTTGATGTCTGCCTTCAGGGAATTTACCCCTTACCCAGTTTCTTTATCATTTCCTCTTGCTTTAAAGGTCAGAGTTTACTGATTCATTGTTCTCAAATGTATTAGTGATATAATATGACAATCTGTCCATGCTGTGCAGGGGATCGTCTGGTGAAAGTGAATGGAGAAAGTATTCTAGGAAAGACGTACTCACAGGTGATCGCCCTCATTCAGAACAGGTAAGAATCCCTTCCTGTGAGCCCCTTCAGAGCCTTTTAGGTGTTGATTTATTGTCCTGTGAGAGAAGTCATAGGAGAGTGACACAAAAAGTGGACTGACTCGTGTATATCTTCATGCTTGCCAGCTTACCATCTGGCTATAAGCCGAGCTAGGCAGCAACAGGAATAGCTTGTTTCACCCTGAGATATGAGAATAACCTCATGACAGATCAATGCGACGCATCCAAATCATATCTAATGGCCCAAATGTAATGTAGGAGGGAGTGCGTGACTTCACCTTTACAAATATACTTGTTTAACTGGGCCACAGGTGTTTGTTTTTTTTAAATAACATAATTTCATCAGTCTAAATGCTAAAAATTCACACAAGGGCAAAAAAACCATTAACTAAAAAATCCCAACAACCAACTGTTCTGATTGGCTTTCTGCCCTCCACGTAGTTTGTTAGTCTTTTGCTGCATATTATGAGTTTTAATGGAAGGTATGAAACATCAAGTGACATACCTCAGTTCAGATTACCCGATGGAACTGATTCATTATCCTCCTGCTCAAATCAGTGCATTCCTAACTGGTATTCGTTTAAGAATAGCTGGAGGTTTCTTTTGTATTTGATTTTATTGTATTTTTATTTTAGCTATAACAATCCACAGGTACAAATGTTGCCTCTGAAGTCTTATTCTTGCTCTTGTCTCTTTTTTTGTCGCACGTGTCCTGCAGTGAGAGCGTGTTGGAGCTCTCCATTATGCCAAAGGATGAAGATGTGCTTCAGTTGGTAAGTGTGAGTATGAGATTTTTCACACATATTTTACCCCACCCCCACCCCCACCTCAAATACACACACAAAATAAACCCACACGTATTACATGCATTATTTTAGGACACTGCAGAAGTCTGCAGAGATGATTCACAGCGTCACTGTTGAAGAATTTCAAGATTTTGTTAGACTGGCTGCAGAGTGACTCACAGGCTCTCCGCTCTGTGTTTAGATTACAACACATGATCATTTAAAACCACTGGTATCTGTCAAAGTTTGTGCTTGGGGAAAAAAAAAAACCAACCCAAAAACTCGGTTGTCGCTCACACACCCATGTTCCGTAAAACACATTTTTATCGCTCCACAGGTTGCTCTTCCACAAGATCCAACATGCATCGTTAAATGCCCCTCCCATTAACCTGGAGCAACTCGTCAACACACACAAACACCAGATGAGCTGATTTAACTGGTCTTTCTCACAGATGCAGAAACATCACCGTTCCTCCCAGAAATGCCCCAAACTGCCCTCTCCTTCCAAGCGTCCTGCCGTGTCTTAATATTATAAACCCCCTCCTCTGTTGTCTCGCTCCTCCCCTCGCTGCTACGCCTGTATTTGCTGCATTCCTAGCATGACCTCACCAATCCCGCGCACCTCCCTCCACACTCCCACAGGGTGGAGTAAGATGAGGAGGAGGAGAGAGGGAGTTTGGAAAGATCTGAGAGAGGCAGAAACAAGTCAATAGAGCAGATAGAAAAGTCACAAATACAAAGGAAAAGAAAAGAAGTTAAAGTCTGGATGTTTTAGGACGAGGACGCGGTACAAAATGAAGAGCAGAATGTTTTAGCTGCAGAGCTGTCGCATCCGCGGTGTTAGTGAGCTCTTCTTTTTCTGCTTGTGTGGCTTCGGTCTTAACGCACAAGCTGTGGAAAGGCTCTGGATTCTGTTGGACAGCCTAAACGTTTCATTAGGTAAACCTTTAAAAGTGTCAAACTGTCTCTGATTTAAAATGTCTTTGTCATGCGAGTTTAAAAATAACTGGAAGTAGGTGTGTTTTTGGTTTAAATATGGCAGTGTGGCCGATTCCTGAAATGATCGGGTAATTTAAAGCTAGTTATTTACATTTGGATTCTCCTAAAGCAGCAAAGAGTGTGTGTGTGTTTTGTATTTGTTTAGATAACATTAGAGGATACTTTTGTATTTATAGCTAGCTGCAGTGCGGTGAGTGTTGTGGCTTTTTCTCGGGGGAATGCTTCCAGTTTGGTAGCTAGTTTGTGTTTGTGTGGAGAGCCGAGGCCTCGGGGACAAACTGTGGCAATAACTCAGAAGCTTCCCCTTTCAGGCTGTTATTGTGTGTAAAGCAGCACGACACTGTGCCGTTGTCAAACTTGTTTACAGGAAGAGACCATTTTTATTTAAACTTCTCATTCCACACATACACACACAGACACACACCTACCTACCTACCTTTGTAATTTCCCATTTCTTCCTGTCACGTCTGTTCTCACGGTTCCTCCATCTTCCCTCCTTTCTCTAGGCGTACTCCCAGGATGCCTACCTGACGGGTAATGAACCGTACGCTGGGGGAGCTGAAAACCTTCCGCCGCCACCCCCCCTATGTTACCCACGCTCCAAGACGACGTCGGTTTCTGGAGCTCCCCTCTCATCCCCCATGGGCCAGAACCAGCTGGATAACTGGAGTCGCTGGCCAGGTTCTTCCAGCCCCTCATCACCCTTGGACAACCGATCTGCTGTGTGCAGCCCCGCCAGCTGGCAGGAGGGGCGGCCAGGCGAGCCCGGTGGTGTGGGTCACAGCAGTCCAGCCCACCGCACAGAGGAGATCCAGTACGGTATGACCAGCCAGCAGCCTCAGGGCCAGATTAGGGGACGCTCCTACTCTTCGTCTTCCTCCTCCGGAGGCCCTTTGTCCAGCCCGCTACAAGTTCACTACCCAAACCACCATGGTGCCAGTTCTTCACAGGCTCAGCCACGCAAGTCCAGCTCAGCCTGGACCAGTCCCCCTCAGCCACAGGTCAGCCACAGCCGCAGTGACCGCTGCCAGCAGGCCCTCTCTGACTGGTACTACAACCAGCAGCCGGATCGCTCAGTACGCAAGATGCAGACCCGCCATCGGAGCTACTCTCAAGACCGGCTCAGTGAATCAAGGAGGCAGCAGCAGCGTACAGGTGGCTGGCCACACAGCGCCTCCCAGGACACTCTGCTCTTACTTCAGCAGTCAGGACCCGGACCCCAAGGGGAGCCATACTGGTCCTACGGAGACCACACTGCCACTAACTATACTCGAACACGCTCTGAAAATTTGCTCGCCCTCTACGACCACCATGGTCGCTCGTTAGAGATGTTGGACCGAGGAGCAGCTGGACTGGTCTCGCCTCGGATTGACAGGCCCGCGTGGCTCCAGCAGGCCCCCAAGCCTCCCCCGAGGACTGACGCTTACCACAGGCAGGGCAACCATTTTAGCGCAGCGCAAGCTCCTCAAGTGTCCCGGCAGTCACAGCCAACCTCTAAACACCACCCACAGACCCACACCCAGCCACAGCCGGCGCCCACTCAGAGCAGGCGGCTTCCTCCTGGACAGAGCGTGGACGACCAGCCGGTGGGCTACCGTAGCTACAGCCCATCTTTTTACCGCAAAACAGGCCGCATCCTGCAGCAGGCTCATTCGTTCAGGGACCCTTCATACTCTGGCCCCCACTTAAACTGGAACCCAGTACCTAAAACCAGCCCTCCAGAGGGGACGCCAGCACCTCCCACTGCCTCCACCACAACTCCAGTTGCCTCCGCCACGCCTGAATCCCAGGACAGAGGGTACAGGCCAACAAACCACGAGAGGGAACGAGGGGCAGTGGAAGGGCAGGCTGAATTGGTGGCACAGACCCAGGAAGTGGTGATGAGGCAGAAACCCCCCACGGGGCGGAGGAATGTACAGGGTATGCGTCACCCTCACTATGCCCTGCCTTTGGATGGGCTAGAACCCTCTTTGTTTTCTCCTGATCCCAAAGACTCAGCCCCAGCTCCCGGTTCCACAGGAGATGTAGCCTCAGGCAAACCAAATGGAAACCTTGCTCCCCTCCCACTAGAGGATGACTCTCTGGCCTCCATCCCCTTCATAGGTGAGTAGGGAGCCTCCAAGCTTCCTCCCATGTCCCTTCTCCTACTTCCCTAACACAAAAAACCCCCACACTGACCTTGAGATTTCATTAGTCGTCCTCTAAAATGTAATCTACACTGAGTGTTTATTGAACGTTAGCGAAAGCTTAACCGAGAGGAAATGCAAAGCAGATGAAAATTTGAATTTGTGTGTTGTTTAATTTCCTCCTCGTCTGTATATTCAGACGCCAGAGTCTGCCCAGACGCAGTTTCCGATCTGTCTGTGAATGTTTGCGTTGGGTAATTGCGGTATTCCCACAGTCTTACGCACCATATTAGTCGTATGTGCGATGGAAGTTCACTAATCCTGCTGGCTGCCCTCCTGACTTTAAGGTCACCTCACTGTGCTGAGGAAATGAGGTGGAGGTCTGGACTTCCTGAATGTGGGTTGTTGTTTAGAGGGATAATTTTCAATTTCACATCGGTGGAGTTTGATTTTGTGTGTTGAGGCGTGACAGGAGCTCAACAGCTACTGACAGTGGTTTTAGTCTAAACCAGTAATACTAATAACGAGCTGTCATAGCACCGTCCGAGCAGGACATGCAGTCTTTTCTGTTTGTTTTCTACAGTTATGGCCTGCATATGTTGCCGTCAGTGGGAGTTGACTGCGATCGTGTTCGAGCTTGTTTCTTGCTCTGAAAAGGCTCAAACAGAAGGGGCCCTGTAGGCTTCTGATTAGATTCTATCACTTGACACGGACATTAGTCAAAGTCAAACCACAAGCAAATGAAGTCAGCCGGTGAGGCTGGACTTGCCTATATCGCCCACTCGCAGCCTGGGGAAAACTTGCACTAATGTTGAATAGATTCAAATCAGCTGACTGGGAAGCTTTGACCCATCTTGGAATGACTGGATATTTGAGCCAAGCTGCGCTCTGCCCCAGAGAGTCATTTAAAGAGAGAAACTACAGGAAACCAGGAAGGCATCTCTCGTCCTCTCTGTCAATCCGTCAGAGCACATTCTTGCCTCGTACTTTCACCTGAATTAAACGAAACCAAGCAGCCAGAGCAGCAGGTCAGGACATGTTTAATATCCATAAACTGAAACTAGGATAGACAAGAAGTAGTTCGTTCGTTCGTTCGTTCGTTCTTTCTTTCTTTCTTTATCTAACTGATGCAGATGCTGATATAATCTGAGGCTGTTTAGGGACATGCAATTTCATGGGCTGTTGTTTTTCTTCTTCTTTTCAAAGCATGGGTGTCTGTGAGATAGCAGTTCAAAGGCAAACAGTGTCTGAATGCAGATACTGTATGTTTTTATCAAATCTCGTACACCATATTGAATTTTTCCTAAATTCAATGAAGTGTTTAATACTTTCTGTGTTTCTGGTAGCTCCTACAAAATGAAACGACAAATTATATCGAATGCTGCTGCAGGATTTTATTGTGCGCCCACTTGGAGTCTTTGTAAGCTGTAAATTGCCAGGAGGTTTTTGTCATGGTCCTTGTGGGGAACAGTGGGGGCTCCCGCCTTCAATGCAGCTATTGTACTGCTCTACTAGATGAAGGGTTTTATGTGGGGGTTCATTCTATGACTGTCTTTACTAGCTGGACCCTGGACATGATGGACTTCGTGTACTGGCCTGTGTACTGGCCCTCTGTGTTCTCTTACAGGCACCTGCTTTCAATTACTTTGTATTGAAAGCTCAAGCTCATTCTCTCTCATTTTTCTTGGTCTAAACTTCTCTACATTGAATTACAGTTGCTACATACAGGTTAGTTTGATAGTCAGTTAATTCTTTGAGATATTTCGTAAGCAGGAGTACAGCTAGTACAGCTAGTAAAACATGCTGCAAAAACTCAGGCCTCAGACTATTTATATTCAACTGTTGGCTCTGTATGATGTCAGAGAGAAGGAATATCCCTAAGAAACTCCACATGGAGTTGAAACCTTCTAGTTGTGAGGGACAGCCAGTCAAAGGAAAGCTGGCATTTTTGCCCTAAAGGGAGAGGAGCTAAAAGGGTTGGTTTCAGATAGTTCAGAGTCCAGCCAATGAGGCTCAGTTTAGATGTAATAAAGATAAATAAGAATTAATTGGAACTGTATATCATGCAGAGGATAAAAACTAGAAATCAAGCACAATAGGTCCCTCTTAATAAAGTAAATATTCCAAAGAGGAATGAGTCTTTAAGCATTTCTTCTATCTTCACCATTCGTCCAGGACAAATCTGAGTCAGGAATTCCTCCTTTACTATATGTACTGTAGAGCAGCAGCACAGTGCACTTCAGTATGCTGCTCCCCTCTGCTGGTCTGTCTCTGTGTCGTGTTTCTGAGCTCACTCTGGCTGCCTGTTAATGACGGCCTTTGTTAAACCCACAGCCCGGCTATTTCTGGGCCATGCTGTAAACAGGCAGATTCCTTATCCCAGACTGGGAATGTTTTCCGCCTTATGTCGGCCTCTAAAATGCACAGGAGTGAAGAATCGAAAAGCGAGGGCGGGAAGAAGAGCATGAAGAAAGGGAAGAGACAAAGGATGTTAGAGGACTGGACTGTAAGAAGAGAGATGGTTATTAAAATAGGGAAAATTAAATATGAAACCAGTGCAGGGTTTTTCTAAAATGACCATGTGGTGGTCAGTTGAAGTGTGGCGGAGTGAGGCTGTGCTGCCCTCTGCTGTTTCCTCCGAGAGCAAACCAGAGCCTCGACGCATTTCGGTCCTGAGAGTTTAAAACATCACGGCAAATCCAGCTTCTCCTCACTGTGTGCAAATATCAGACCAGCCCCTAATCCTCGCTGTCAGTCAGGAAGTGTGAGCGTGTTTGTGTATGAATGTTTCTGTGCGTTAGTTTCATATCCCTTTACCTGAAACTGCTGATGACTAGTAGCCTGTGTGATCCCAACCATTTTATGCCTTTGTCTTCTTAAAAACTACGTTTCTTTATCAGCATAAAAAAATCCCCAGAATTCTTATGTTGGAAAGAAAAAGAAAAGATCATTCATGCCCAATAATTTCTTTTCTACCTTTTGGACAGTAACGGTTTCTCTTGCATGTATCAGATCATGCCTGCGTTAGGGTAGATTTCACAAAGAACTGAAACCATGAGCCAGTAAACCTGTAACAAAACCCCCTCCTCTCTGTTAGCTACTGAACAGTTCTTCCTATGGCAGCAGAAGACGCAGGTATTGTATTTTCTGTAAACTTTTTGCCTGTTCAGCCATGTTCCTGTGGAACTTTTTCTTACTGTAGTTGGGTCGCAGCTATGCTTACTTTCCTGAGAGAGGACAGGAGCTTTTAGTGACTTCTGCTTCATCTGTGTGTTCTTAAGTGACCATATAAATGTATGTGTTTCTGACTTTCTTGTACTTCTCACGGGAATCTGGAAGTGCATCATGTTAAAGTATTGTGGTAAATGTTTTAAGGTGATAGTCAAATTTAAAGTGAAAGAAACTGTGAAAAGCGTTTTCTTTTTAAGTCTCTCTGATGGCAATCCCCCAATTCCTCATCGTTCCTCTACCTTAAAACCTCTCCTCTCCTTACCTTCTCCTAACCCAACCCATTTTTGTTTCTTACCTTCTCGCCCTTTTTGCTAACACCTAACCCTTCTCCTTCTCTTTCACCCTTTCCTTCCTTCCCTCCACCCACCCACAGACGAGCCAACCAGCCCCGGCGCCGATTTGCGCGCCCGGCACGTGCCGGCGTCCTCCGTTGTCTCCAGCGGCATGAGTTCAACGCCCGCCGTGGTCAACAGCCCCGCATCCCCCACCTTCACCTTCCCCCTCACTAGGCTCTTCTCACACGACTGCAGTGAGTGCCCCCTCCTCCCTCCCTTCCTCGCCACTGCATGCAGCCAAAAATTAAGATTCTCCTTTTATTTCCAATGTGGATTTATAAAGCATGAGATTTGAAGAGAGTATACAATTTTATAACTGCTGTAATCTCCATCTTATGAAGCATTTTGTCTCCTTATTGTGTTTTAACTGCCTTATTTTCTTAACACGAAAGCTGAAATCTTGAACTTAAGGATGCACTTAAGTTGTGGAAATTTACGTTTTATTTTATAGAACTGAAAAAAAGTTTGTTTCTATGAGAAGTGAACTTTAACATCTCACTTGGAACGCCTTAAAAACCAAAATAGCTTGACAAGATGAAGTTTCAGCAGTTTGCATGTTGAATTTGTAGATTGGACTTGAACACATTGGTTTAGATCATTTTTTGGTCACAATTCTAAGCGTGCATGAAGCCCAATCTGTGTATTTTCAAATTAATTTAGCCCATATTGGTGGTGCACAAACCAAGACTTGCATGATTGTGAAAAAACTGCACAAAAAAATGAATATGGGCGTGTACACCTGTATGCCAGAGGTGAGCAAACGGTCCAAGGAAACCAGTCTAACCCCCACTCCTCTAGCTCATGTCCCTACTCACCATCTCCACCAAGTCGCTGATTCACTCGCCCTGTTAACCCC